CCCGGGACATCCCCGCTTCACAAACATCGGTATGCTCTATAAAACGTAACAGTCGCAGTTCAAAAGTGAAACTGAATTGTGAAAGATAAAATTTTATTCTATCGCAGTTTCCGAGTCCAACGCAACTTTAAGTTCCCGTGCTCTGCATGCGAAAATTAGTTCCAGGTAATTTCACTCCACTTCCAATTTAAACCACAATTACAATAACATTAGAAAAAATAGAACGAGTTTCTTATCTGTTCGAAGCGATGTAAGCGAGACGCATCTACACCATTATAAATTCAGTGTAAGGTTTGACATTGCCTTTTATCTAGAATTGCATGCGAGCTTTTCGCTAAATTCGAATTTCTTTTGTAGCACGTTTAGGGACAATGGTGCACCGATTGCAGCGCCTGCTTTAGCCATTTTATTTTCGGCCATTACGCTATTGTTGGCGAGAATCATTGTACAATATCGATTCGATGTCCTCAAAGCAACAAAAGGTGAAAATAACACATTGTTGTAATTTTGCTTTTAGTGCTGTAGGTATATTTATAATAAACTTAAGGTGCATTTCAATACAAACTTGGAATTCAAATGTTCTCGCAGCAGTCCTGCACCTGTAGAAGATTCAAGGTGATAACGAAAATAAGGAAATTAAATGAACGTAACGAAATAAAGTTCCACGAACTTACAAGCGAGCAAAATTTGAATAAAGTTTGTGAAATTTCAGAACAAAACTTTTAATAGACTTTTTTGCCAGTCGCGTTTGGAATCCTTTGGATTTGTTTTCGACTGTGTGGATTATATTTTATTCAGTAAGCATAAGTTGCTTTTCATTAGAGACATACACATGTGTGAGGGGTAAGGGTACAATTTCCTCACGTCACTCGCCACCAGCGCAAGATCGAGGCGTTGCGTCTATACATATGTCGGATCGGTCACCAATGAAATGTAAAATAATGCGTATATTTTCTGTTACTGGATTGTTGGGACACCACCGAAGGGGCACTGCACTCGTGACCTCGTGATTATTCATATAACTTATTTAAAAACATACTTTTGTGTTAATAAATGCTCATGAAAATGCTTCTTGCAAAATTTATTTTGATTGAATATCATTTTGTTGTTACTACTATGACATTCACAACATTTTTTGGAAAGTACTCCAATAATTTATTATCATTATTGATACAAAATTCCAACAAACGTAAAAAAAAACCGAACCAGTTTCTGTTGCCTGAACATGGCTATTTGTGTAAGTAGCCACGTTCAGCAAGCTTTTTGCTTATTCTCATCATATCTATAAACTTTGACTAGGAAATAAAACGTTGATAGAAAATTACGAGCGGCTACAAAGAAAGTAAATATATTAAAGGAAAAACACTCGAACCTAGAAGGTAAAATGTACCACCATAGATATTCTTTAATGTCAGGTTCCACACATTAATGTTCGCGGCGAAATTGGCCTTATAAAGCCTGTAACGCTTTTATCAAGGGAGACCATCAGCACGGAGAAACATTTCTATCTCAATGAGACATAAATAACCTATTCAGAAATAACTAGGCCAGTAAACGTCGCATACTGCTGTTCAATTGAAGAGAGGTAAATGTGCTTTATACCCGACCCATAACTACCTGACCTGGCATTTTTTTAGTAATATCAAGTGACGGGACAAACGTGCGCCTCACGGAAGAAAGAAAATTTATGTGGTCTGTGGTGCGCCTGATGGTAAGTTACACGCCTGTCCATAACAGTTGTAGTGCCACTCGGAGCTTGAAATCGCAAAGATCTGAGGCGCACTGCCACTATGCCCGTCACCTTGAGACGTAAGTTAACAAGTATCATGTGCCTGTAATTTCACCAGCACCCTTCCCCTTCAAAACCGGACACTAATTTTAACTGCCTCTGTGGCCGAACGGTGACCATGCCGGACTGCCACGCAGAGGTCTCAGGTTCCATTCCCGGGCCGGGAGAAACATTTGTATGGCCAACATTTGTCTATCTCGTGAGTTTGGACATAATTTGTGGTTGTTTATGAGTGTGTACATGGCACCCGCGTCACAGGGTTTCCCTAGTATGGGGCCATGTTGAGTGAGTGCGTGATTATATTATTATATTATAGTAATGCTGAATTACTGCTTGGCGGCAGAAATAGGTAAGGTGGCAGTACTTCCCTCTGGACGAACTCTTTTACAAGAAGCACAACTGTTACTAAAAATAAATATCACAAAAAAAATTCATTACAGGTAAATGATAACTGCATTTGTTTGTCTTGAATAAGACAGTGCAAGCTACAACGTGGATCGCTCGTCATGGTTGGTATCAACCTGTTATTGTAGTTTTCTAAATTATTATATGCAAATGGATCAGTACTCTGGATATAGTTACATCAAAGCGTACTGCTCATGTCTGCATAGTTTAGGCAGAACCAGTTTCAACAATGCGCACCCTTGGTGTAGTAAGGTCACATCAGCAAAATAACAACTTTTCGGGAGGAATCTTAACGATTGTACAAACGAAATTGGACGATAGCTTTTTATGCTCAAATAGTAAAGTTATATTTTATATAATTGCAAGTCAATGATTTTATACAAATAGTTTGAGATACTTCCCTGTGATACGAACTCTTTCACATGGCTCTACTGCTACTAAATACGGCTTAATATACTTCCTTTCTTGTCATAACCAAAGCATTTGCATTTTAGTAACTTTCGAGATATTGGCACCTATACTCCGTGCAACCATTTATTTAACTTTGACATATGCATGCCTCCGAAGCTTAGGGAATGGATAAAAAATAAAGGAACGAAGTTCTGTACATACCATAAGATGGAAAAAATAAATATTGACATACAACCAGAGATAATTTATTTCTCTGGACTTTGGATTATTTTTTTCCATCCTCTATGACTTTGGACTCTTTTATTTTTAATTTTAGTGAACTGACGTCTTCTTTAGCTCCGATATTTATCGAGTTAACTGATTAAGTAGCGAAGATTATTCAAGTAGATTTATTTTGGTACCTGTCTAATAAATTATAATGAAATTAAATTAATTATAATTAATTATAATATCTTATCGTTTGTTAAAATGAATCATCGGATTCTTTTCCATACGATCGGGAATCACTACTTGAATCCTCATAAACAATAATTATTAATTCTTGAGTACAAAAATTGTCGAACGCAATACCACGATCCCAATCAGACAATATTTTCTTTTTTGAACCCGCACACATTCATGATTTTTCACATTGAAGAAGTTGTCTTCGTAAATAAAATCGATTGTTACAAAAAAAAACCAACCCTGAAACGCATCAGAACATCACTAATTGATTAGAATTCGAGCTGTCAAAGGTTAAATAAATGGTTGGACAGAGTATACAGTTTTGGTTTTTTCTTCGAAAAATATAAATTATGCTGAGTTTGCTTAACAATAAAACTGAAACTAAATAATATATTTAAAAAATCATATATAGAGGGTTGTAGATCTCGTATCGCTACTTCCAGTTAGTTACGTTAATAACTCAATTTATTATATATTTAAGCAACAACTATGAATTTTCTCACAAAATTATTAACATAAGTAAGGTCAGGTGGGGTAAGAGGAACACCAGGGAAGAGGGACTAAAGTCCATAATACCTAAAGTAAAGCGTTTAGCACTATAGTCTCTCAGTCGATAAAACAGACAAACAAATTAGTTTTAATGGTTGTAAAGAGATATCGCTACGTTGTTCGAAATTTGAGAGAGAGAGAAAAAAATTTGACAGTTGTGTAGTCTGAAAACACGAGATGAGCGCGTAATTTTTCTTTGCTGGATCTTAGTAATAAAAAGTGCTGGAAATCATTTTTATAGAAAAACACGTAGTGAAAGCGGTACGTTTTACTTTTTATTACTTATTTCACATCAAAAACAACAAATAATACGAGGTTGATAGTAATCATAAATTTTGATAAAATTTTAGTGACTTCGTCCACATGATGTTAATTTTTGACGACGTTACAATAATTACAACACTACAACTTGATGTGTAAACAATCACACATTTTAAGGTAGTTTTTAAGGCCAGCAGCAAAATCATGGTAGTACATTTTTTCCGTCAGGAATTTTTATAAAATTTCATATTTTAGTCTAAAAAAAATTACATAAGCTCTAAAATAATGACGTTATCTAAGACCAAACATAAAAATGGCTCATTGCACTTTAGCTACGTGGTTACACTACATCTACACCAAATTTTGAGAAGAATAAATTTTGTTAGAAGTATAAATTTATTTATGGACCAAACATTGTTTTTCTATTATGACGATTTTAAAAAGTACTTAAGTTACTTAATTTGTTGATTTGTAAACGAGTGGCTAGAAATGTGCCTTTGTTATGCTTTGTACTAAAAAAATTACAACAGATTCACATTTTTTAGTTTGTCACCCCTGACCTTAATCTATATATTCCTCTTGCCCCAAAATTAATTTTTCACTTGTTTTTTTGATAACTATACGTTATTTCAATGGTTTCAAGATCAAATCCGATTGAAATAGTTTTACTTAGGAATTAACTACGGATATATTTAAATATACATTATATTTACATGAAATACGATGACAGTTCCTCTTGCCATATTTTTTGGGGGAAGAGAAACGTTTGCACAACCTGAACGTTTTTGTCAGATACATCGTGAGTATTAATTTTGGCGTAATTATTATTAAAACATGGAAAGCTGATAAACCAGGGCAAGATTTGAGTATATCGAAATTCGTATAAGACATCATTTATTCTTCCTAGAGCTCATAACATTTCTTTCGAAATAAAGTATGTTCCTGTTACCGACATGACCTTCGGTACTTTTATTAGGGAAATAGAAATGAAAATATGTTTATTATAAACGAATAAAACATTCCATTCTATGATTTACAAAATAATTACACAGACTACTACAAAATTAAAATTTATATCCAATAGGTAAGTCATTTGATAATAATTGTAATATTTTTTAAGTAAGTTGCCCGATAGTTATATTCAATCGATTTCCAGTTTCTTGAACGATCCCTCGAAGCCACTGAAAAAGGTGCTCATTGTTTTCGGCCCACCAGGTCGTTTTGACTCTTCTACTCTTTTCTTCAATTCTGCTTCAAAAAACTCTTCGTTTGACTTAATTTTATTCCAAATTTCATCTGGAAAAATATCCCCCTATTTTTATTTAATACGGGTTAAAAGATAAATAAACATGTGGACATAAATCTCTGTAAACGTATAAAATGTTAACATTCTATAATAATAGAAACTACACAACTACTATTATTCCACCTTTTTAAAATAAAAGAATCAGAACTATGTTAATTATTTCAGTATCTACGGTTACATACATTTGTACATATCATGCAGTATGTGCACTGCATTTAAAATTACTATGTATACGTTTAAACGAAAGGCACGTCTCACCTCGTAACACGTTTCCTTCTTTGTTTTCCCCTCCCGCCTCCTTCGGCAAGGCAGCCTTAGGAATGTATTCCTCTAACGAATCGGAGCCCACTGGATGAATCTTGAGTATGTCAAGCATTTCTTTCTTCATGAAAGGCTTCACCATAGACATTAATGTGTCGATGAAGTTGGATGCATTAATGAAATGAAACTCTTTGAGACGAACGAACATGGCTTCCTACAAAATGCAATTAACGATTATTTGTATTATTTCGTATTGATACCAAGAGTTTAGTAGCAAAAGAGCTCCTTGTGAAAGAGTTCGTCTAGTGAAGTACTGCCACCTTACCTATTTCTGCCGCCAAGCAGGGATGTGAACATTACTGTGTTCCTGTTTTGAAGAGTAAGGTGCTGGTGAAATTACAGGCACATGGGACTTTTCAACTTATGTCTCAAGATGACGGGCGTGGTGGCAGTGCCCTTCAGATCTTTGCGATTTAAAGTTCTGAGTGTCACAGTAACGTTATGGACAGGCGAGTCGCTTAATATCAAGCGCACGACTTGATCGTCCCGTCACTTAGTGTTGTAATAAAAAAAATTAAAAATCATCAATGTCGCCTTTTTTTTTCAAAACAAGGAAAGGATACTAATATATGAAGAGGCTGTAGGGGAAACGCTTTGCTTATGTAAATAAATAGTTGAACACTTAAAAACTTCAAAACCTAAAAATATGTTTGACGAAACCAAGTGGTTTCTACAATAGAAAATATAAGTGGAATAATTTGAGGCATAAAATAAGGAATTAATTCATTAAACCTTAAAATTTCCTGTTGGCAACGAACGACCTAACTTTTATATAATATTCTTACAAAACCGACACTGGCGAAATCTTAAAAATTGTCGCATTGCACCAGCAATAAGTAAAAAGAAGTGCGGTAATTGTCATCATATCAATAATGACGTTTATAAATATGTACCTACACGTTTGTTTAGTAACAAAATAAATTTATCTGCCTTTCTGTTGTGGATTACTTCGTAATTTTAGGAATTTTCATTCTGTTCCATAAAGTCATAATCTACGCCCCGGCCATGCACTTGACGAGCAACCTTCAAGAAATTTGAATAGGCTGCGCAACAAATTTCAAACGTAGGTATATTTTCGCACTGTGAAGGCAACGTACCTTGTGCATTAGATCATTGTATCATACAAAATAAACTTCCGAATCATATTTTAAATAAGTCAATTCAAATCAAATAAACATTATTATACTCATAGCATAGCACCTAATTAATTGTAACGTAGTTTTTTTTAAACGTTTTTCAGACGATAGTGGTGGCTGTCTGTAGCTGGTAACTGTGTAATGTAAGGTCGTATGTATAAGTCTCCTGTTTCTACATTACGCTTGTTCTAGCAACTACTCTTCAATTCGGAAACCAGCAGTGAAGTTTTGTAGTAGAAATAAGTAGGGTGGCGTTACCACTCAGATGGATTATGGGCAGTCAAATACCTAGTCACCAGCATACCAGAACGAATACATTGAAAGCACAGAAAATGGATATTGAAAATAAAGCAAATACCTGCAAGAAATAGAAAAACTGTTGAGCCACATTGAGATCCATACGTGACAGATGGCTGACAGAAACCTTGTCCATATTTAGAATAACAGCTACACCGGGAACAGTACCTTTTTCCCACTGCCACAAATCCATCAGCATTACGAACGCCCTATTTGAAATAGATATAACTATTATACAACATTTATCATAGCGTCCATACATCTATTGTAATAATTAGCTTTTTAATAATAAAGTATCGACAGTTTGAATCAATGTGGCAACATGTATGACTTTAATTTATGAGGTACATATGTTTGTAAATGTTTAGTATCAATACTTTGCGCTATCGACGAAGGAAAAGTTCATGATGAAACTTGCACGTTTATAGAAGATTCACAACCCTTGGAAAAGTCAAATCCCCAAACCGGATTGGACCAGTGTCGCACCCCGGACACTCTATACAACAGTAGAAACTTATTTACCTACTACTACTACGTACAGCAAGGCGCTGTCTGCATACACGCATATGTGTGCGTAAAAGTGGTAGGGTTATTCATCACTTCCTTGAACTATTTATTCTGTATCGAATTCTTAGGTTTTCGCGATTGTTATACGTAGGAAATGAAACTATTTTTCCGGATTTAAATCGAGTATATTTGTTTTTTCAAACAAACCAACGTTTCGGACTCTTTACAAGTCAACCGTGACCATGCGACCTGTAAAAGGCCCAAGACGTTTGTTTGTTTGAAAAAACAAACACGCGATTTAAATCCGGAAAAATAGTTTCATTTCCTATTGATTAGTTTAACTAGACAGGGACTTAATAAGAGCAAATGAATATTGTATAGGTAAATAACATGATAAAACAATAAATCAAATAATAATCAAATAACCGTAAATAACTGCAGTTAAGTTAAATAAATTAAAATAAGTAGCTTGAACATAAGACTTAATGCAAGAATAACACTACCATAAATTTGAAATTTTTATATGTACTCGATGTCATAAATAATATGTTTTGAAATCGCATTATTCTAAAAATTCGAAGTTTAAACATCAAAATCGTCTTTAGCGAACGGTTCGCTGATAGCCTGTTTCCTCTCCGTCAATGTGACGGTCAATATGAGGGGTGCGGTGTAGTATCTTTAAACTAGGGCGGGTCGGAGAGCTTGAAGAGTGCCCTTTTTCGTTACTTTTTTATTCTCTAGCTAGTGTGGTGGACTGTGGCCCAACCATCTCATTAGGCCCAGGGCCCATTGGCGAGATGCCGTGGCAAGGAAACCTTCAACATTCCTACACGAAAGCACACACGGACGATAATTATGCCGCACATGCCGAAAGATACAGTCGCAACGTCGTGCTCGCGTCTAGACTCTTCAGGTCAACGTAACGTTGCAAGCTGGTTTATTGCTAGCTGTATATTTAAATATGGTAGTCTTGTGGAATAAGAATAAGAGAATATTATTCCAAGAAGACCTCCGTAGCACCCCGAAGGCTGCCGAAGCATTCCAGAGGCTACCGACTTGGTATCTATAAGCTTACCACAGTTATGTATTTGCAACTACGACCATTATAATTGAAATTACAACTATAATGTCGTAATATTAAGGGACATAAGTAAAACCCCGTAAGTGAGCGTCGGGCCTTAGACGAGACCCATGCCCGGCAGTGTGAGGTATTGACGGTGATGATGATGATAATTAATTGGAGGACAATGGGACGAAGGGAAAAGATATTTCAGTCAGTTTTTTTTTGTTTCTGGTAGACAACATTGTTGTGAATTCATTCATATGTATACTAAAAGTCTACTTCCATAGCCTGAATAATTATAACGATTGACAATATACTCATTCGCCAGATATATTAGAGACAGTTAACCTCTCCTCATATAGCGAACTTTATGACGTCATTAGAGGTGAATTGAAAGTCAAAACGTTGTACTTCTTATTGTAAAAATAGCGGAGTTTCAAGAGCTAAAAATGTACCTACAGAAATTAAATATCTCGAATATGCTTTGTGAAATAACCAGTTTAATGCAGATATTTCATATCAGCACTTTGAAAGAAATTCAGAAGTGCACACAATCTTGAATTTATTGCATGGAACATGTATTTTAAAAAATATTAAAAATGTCTAATGTAAAGCAATAAAACATATTTTGAATATAGTGCTTAACCGGCGAATACTTACTTCACTACGTCATTGTAGACAAATTTCTGTGGATCGGCGTCTAACAATTGGCAATATATCGCTGAATATCCTTTCTTAGTTGGTGTATCTAAAAAGGTAATTAGCCTAAAAAAATTAATTTTATGAAGCCTTTTTCTCACTCAAACAGAGGCTACTAAGGAAGTATCTGTATGCCTTACATTTTTACAATTGTGAGATCTTGTTCTCGTAATCTATTATGCCTCCGTATATAATTACCTCCATACGAAGGCGTGCGGACGCTTCGGGCTTCGCCCTCCGCGAACCTCGGCCTGCGGCCTCGGCACTTAGGACTTTGTTTTAAAAAAAAATTAAATAGCTCTTTAATGGCGGCCATATTTAAAAATTACAAAAATATGTTATGACCACTACTGTATTATTATCAAATAATCTTAGAAATCTTTTCGTGCTAATTTTCAGTCCGAGCAAAGCAAGTTACAAAATAAATTACGGCTATATCGAAAAACAGCTGAAACAAAATTTTTACCCCAAATGATGATGCCATGTCATTTTCAGTCGAATTAGAAGAAATTATATCTATCGCCAAAAAAGTTTGTATGGTAGCCATATTGAAAAATGGTGAAAAATAAATTTTAACCGCTAATTATTATTAAACACTCATAAAGACCCCGACATGTCCATTTTCAATAGAATTAGTACAAATTTTTATCTGTTGCTAAAAGAGTTTGTATGGCGGCCATATTTAAAAATGACGAAAAACCAATTTCGATCACCGCCATTTTGAAATCGCCATCTTGAATTTTTTTTAACCCAGGCAATTGACCATTGTTACCGCCTATGACATTCCTTCGAGCACCTCGTACCTATCTCTAATAGGTTCCGTGATAGGAGGCTTTGAAATTTGTATGGCGGCCATCTTGTTTATTTGAATTTCGAACATTTTTTACATCCCGCGGAAATTGACCAGGGTGTATCTCATAAATGTGCACAAAAATCCCCCCCATATATTATAGTTTTTGCAGGCCGTTGATCACTCGTTTACATTTTCCACATTCAGGTCTTCTCATATTTGATTCTTTGCCTTGGAGCCTATCCGCGTACAACAGTATAAATATCTTTTTTCCACCATATTGGGAAGCATGCGTTCTATTTCTATCAGTGGGTAAGAACTTGTAGCTTTATATATATACTAGATGCCGCGCGATGCGCCGGGCCGCTAAAGCGGCCCGCGAGGG